GGAGGACATAGAATGCCTGATGTGTGATCAAGTGCAATGAAGCTAGGAGAAAGTACTGAGAGTGAATGAAGGTTGAACATGATAGTGGGACAGGAGGAATGTAAAAAGAAATAGGGGAAAGAACTAGGAGTCAAATGACATTTATAGAGGTATAAACAGGCATGTACATATATGTAAATACATTATGTGGGAGTTACATAATCTGGTGCCAATTTGAGGATTAAGAGTGTAGGGGTGGAGTCTAGCCTGTCACTCAGGATACAGCCAATGAGGCCTCTATATGGGCATAGCCTTCTAAGGATTCTGGGAAATCCTCTATTTCCTCCTTGGAGGCGGGAGACTCTCTCTCCCTCTCTCTCTTGGCTCACTACCTGGGAGACATTATAGCTGACAAGACACATGGAACTGCAGTAGTGCTCTGAGCTGGAGAAGCCATGTGTTGACCCTGCCAGCGCTCAGATACTTAGTACGCCACTGGATCCACAAGACTTCCCACCCAGTGGCCTGTGATCTTCCTACATTTGGCATCATTGCATGTGTTGTGTGAGTCTGAAGAGGACTCTACAGATTGGTATTGGACTTATGGACTTGATCTGAACTAGGCTGGGATGTTTTCTTAATGTACGGTTGCTCTTGTATATAAGCTCTTTCTTATACACATGTGAGTGTTTGAGTTTGTTTCTCTAGTCTACCCAGACTAACACATTATGGTACCTTGGGAGTGGGGTACTAGAGAAACAAATCATAAAGATAGAGAGTGGATGTTTATTTGACTTCTGCCTCATGTTGTTTCTTCTTGGGCTAGCCAGAGGTCAGATATGTGCATGCAGTTTTCTGGAAAGAATTTGGGAAGTTAAAAGTTTTGATTATTTTATTTGATTATAGTCTTTGGTTATTCCTGTGTGACATGAATATTGTTAATGTATATTTTGAGCTCAGGGGTAGAGATCACCCCTTAAATTTCTCAGAGACCGTACTGGTGAGAGAAAAGGGCTGACAGGTCAAGTTGGTGCACAGAAAGCCTGTGTCTGGCTTGATGCTCTCAGAGGCCTTATCCCATACTTTTTTTTATCAATAGGATAGTTTAGATAAGGATTAGATAAGCTAGATAAGAATTAACTTGATTGTTTCAAGAATTGAGATTAGTATCAGATTCTACTTTGTTTATACTGATTTCTTCTGCTTATTATTGTGGATGTAAAAAATTATAGAATGAGTTTGGGAAGTATGAAAATTGAGAGATTGTAAACTCACTTGCCTCGAGCCATTACTTTGATCTTTAGATGGGTTTAGCACAGGCCTGCAAAGAAGGCTTGGAAAGGATAAGCCCCACCCAGTGCTTTGGAGTACTCAGGATATTTACATTCCAAGAGATCTGCCTAAGGGCAAGATTGACAGATTGAAGGGGAGAAAAAGGAACTCTTTGGATATCTGAGTTTTGAACTAGTGGTTTTTGTCAGAGGCTGGAAAAAAACTGGATCCATGAAGAAAACTCCTCTCTATGACTGAACATTAAAGGGAGCCTGTGGGCAGGCTGAAATGCTTGCTAGGTGACCCCTTGAATCTACTTGTTGAGTGGAAGTGGGAGAAATGTAGCAATAGGAAGACGGGTTGAGTCTGGCTCACTGTGGTTTACAGGAACTAGAGAAGATGGGAGCAGGTTGACTGGTCTGAAGTTCATGACCTAGCACAATGGGGCTAGGCTTGTTGAGAATTTGTGGTGGGGCCATGGTCTAATGGCAAGGCAACCACTGGGCACCCTGGTGAGGCTAAGTGAGGCAGCCCACATTGAGTTGACCAGAACCCAAGCAGATGAAGAGAAGATATTTGAGCCTCTGAACTAGTGCATTTTGCTGCAGACTTTATGGATGGCCTGCCCTGATTTGACTATGCTTATGAATGCAGACTTCACAAGGTCCCAAGTGGAATGAGAATTCTTCACGTCAAAGAATATGATTGTCTCCTCAGAGCACTGGGCTGATGGAAGTGGGCAGAATAGAAATTGGGTACCCAAAATTTGGGGGGATAAAGGCATGAAGTAGTTGGCTTACAAACTTTTATATTATAGGTGGGGGAATATATTTATAGGATTATAGGATTGAGGTGTAGGTGCTCATATAAGTATAGAATATTTTGTTTTGCTCACTTATACAATATTTTTAAATGAGGGTGGCACATTTTTGAATTGCATGCATTTTAGTTTTATCCTATTAGGTACAGATATGATTTTATTATTGTTTGTTTGAAAATTATATATAGCTAAAGAGTTATGTGAAAGTGTCAAATTGACAAGCGGTGGTCTGTGGTAGTTACATAAGTTGGTGTCAATCTGAGGAATAAGAGTGTAGGGGTGGAGCCTAGCCTATCAATCAGGATACACCCAATGAGGCCTCTGTGTGGGCATGGTCTTCTGAAGATTCTGGGAACCCCTATATTTCCTCACTCCCTGGGAGACATTAGAGCTGACAAGACTCATGGAACTACCATAGTGCTCTAAGCTGGAGAATCCATGTGGAGACCCCTGCCAGCGCTGAGATGCTTATTACGCCACTGGACCCACAAGACTTCCCAGCCTGTGGCCAGTGATCTTTCTGCATTCAGCATCATTGTATGTGTTTCAAGAGTCTGAAGAGGACTCTATAGATTGGTGTTGGACATAGGGGCTAATATTGGATTTATGAACTTGATCTGGAGTGGGCTGGGATGTTTTCTTAACATACAGTTGCTCTTGTATATAAGCTGTTTCTTACACACATGTGAGTGTCTATGAATTTGTTTTTCTAGTCTACCAGGATGAACACAATATATAATGATAGTGATATAAGTCTATGTACATATATTTAAATGGTAAGCATTAAGGTAGCAGATGGGCTTTGGGTCTCTACTCGAGTACTCCTTTAATGGAAGAATACTTTGTTCTAATAACCTAGCATTCAGTGATGCTCACCAGGCCAGGATCACTGAAGTCAAAATGGGTGCATAAGCAAATGTGGTGAAGTAATCTGATGGTGCCAGGCTATTCGTAGATACAGCATCTGAGATCTTAAAGGCTTGAAGCTAAACAAGCAGCGATCTAGCAGGGAAGCAATAAAGCCCCATGAAAAGCACACCTGCCTGTGCAATCACACACGAGGTGTTGATGGGATAAGGTATTAGCAGCAGAAGACAACAAACAAATATATTGATGTGAATGATGGGGGTCAGAATGAAGACCCAAAGCCCATGGATTTAGCCTCCCCAACTCCTCACCTGTTCTTTAAAGTAACCGTTGTCCATTGATCTCATCGGGATCAATTTTCTTAAAAAACAGAGCTCTCAAGAATAAAATTCTTTATCTCTGACTACCCTGCTGTCTTAGATACGCAGTGTTGCCATGACCAAAGTATCACAAACAGGAGCACATTTTCTTGGTCTCAGAGGCTGGAAGTTGGGATTAAGGATGCCAGTTGTTGGGCAACTTTTACTTTCTTGGCTCTGGAGAAAGAGCCCTGTTGCTTTGGGCTCTTTTTGTGTGACTTGGTATCTCTCCATGTCCATCTCCATTTGCTCAGTTGCTTGTTTAATCTCTTTTGTGCAGTGAAAGGAGAGCACTGGGCTCCTAATTAAACACCCGTGACGCAAACAAGAGCTGCTCCTGGGGAGGAAGATACAGCTGGCTGCTTCTGTAAAGCTGGCAGCCTGGGAAAGCCTATGGGGCCGCTTTCCTCTGTCCAGGAGGGTTGTTGAGTTGGGATGGACTCTGGGGCAATGAACGAATAATGTCTCACAAGAGGTTTATTTGAGACACACTCTCCACTAGTATTATTTGTTAACACAGGGAAACCATTCCCAATGGAGTCATAGCCACAAGACTACGCACCCACAATGTTTGAGGGGATTCTGACTCATAGTGAGCCTACAGGACAAAGCAGGACTGCTCCTAGGGAGCAAGAGGCTGTAAATCCTTGAGAGAGAGCAGAAAGCAGCCTCAGCCTATTCCAGGAGCGTGGCTGGTGGGTTCAAATGCCAACCTTTTGTTAACAGCTCAACACATGTCCACTGTGCCACCATGGTTCCTTAATCCCAAGGTTTACAACACATCGTTTTGGGGAGGACACAATTCACTCCATAATACCTGCTATGTTGTTAAAAGAGGACTTCAGGTGATGGTTCTGTTCCAGATTTAAAGAGGATCTCAGGGGTTTCTTTAGTCTCAATGGGCCCAGTCAGTCAGCCTGAGTTCACTTTTGGTTGAATCTGCAGAGGCATTCCTCCATAACTATTCACGTCAATTATTCAGAAAGAGGTTTTTGTGGTAGATGGAAAGCTATCTAATTTAGGTAGCATTTGGAAGTTCACCTAAAGAAGCCTAAAACCACATTTTCTTACCTCTCCATTGCTGGTAGGAAAAATGGCATTTTGGGTTGTTTGATTCTTCTATCTAATGTTTTTTTCAATGTGATTTGAAGTGCACCAGAAGATAGGATGTAGTGTTATACTGGACCTCTTAAATGTCAATGTGCATGTACTTTCGAATTTTAAAACGTTACTCATGAAAGTGCAAAGGAAGAACAAGGCCCAGTCAATGTGTTTTGATGTATTCACCTAGAGTCGCATTGGTTTCTCTAAGCTTGGTCCAGGAAGAAAGGAAAGATTCTGCGTGACAGTCTTCTCTGGACCCAGAGCAGCCACAGTGAAAATTAAAGCACTGGTCATCAACTATCAATCTGTATCCTCTGACAGGCTAGAGGAAAAAGAAGAACAACAAGAATTTATTTCCTCTCATAAACAGAATTTTAGTAACACATTTTGATAGTTACTGACACTCTTAATCTCAGACATTCTGAGCTGGCCAGGATGTCAGGAATGATCCCAGGTGACATCGGCAGAATTAGATTCTCCTGACCCCCAGGCCAACGCATTTCCCATGAAGGAACTTCCCAGGGTTGGAGAACACTCTGGTTTCCGCTATGAAGAGAGAACAGGAAAAACAAATGTTGCAAGGATTTGAGGAGCACTGGTATTTTGCACATATTTATTTCATCTCAGCATAGTTGACATACGTAAAAGGGTTTTACAGGATTTATGCTTAGGATTATAAAACTGAAGTGTTAATACATTAACCTCACAGAAAACACCAGCTGACCTGAAGTGTGCCTTAAACGGGTATACATTGGCTCAACTATATGACAACATTTGAGTACTACTCAGAGTATTGAAAAGCTTTGATTTGACCTCATATTATATCACATCTTTTTTTTTTTTTTTCAATTGAACTTAAATCCAGCATGTGAAGCATGTACAAAGCACTTGCCCAATGTTAGTTCCTGTGCAAGGATGCTGAATGCCACATGGTCTGGGCTTATTCCTGGAGACGGAGGGGAAAAGGGTCAATACAGCCAACCCCAGTATTCTTAGGGACTGGTTCCAGGTCCCCTGACGAGACTAAAATCCTCAGATATCCAAATCACTTTCTCTATAATGCGGTGTATTTGCATATAGTCTATGTACTTCCTCCTGTTTATTTTAAATCGTATCTAGATGACTTCTTATACCCAATGCAATGCACGTACTATGGAAATAGCCTTTGAGGGATTGCGCTGACCACTTAGCTGCTTCCACCTTCTCCAAATAGTTTCGATTTGGTTGCATCTGAGGATGGAGGAGCAGAGGAGGATCGGGAAGGCAGAGGAGAATGTGGCTTCTGACATAAACTCTGACACGTCTGAAATGTGAGTGCATTTCCCTGGTTTGTTCCTATCATTATCCCCTCAGAATAGGGAGATTGCAGAGGAAAGGGAGAAATAAGGAAATTGATATTTTTTAAACCAAAAATCAAACTGTAAACTAGGAAAGCGTCTAAAGTAAGACAGAACACAAGAGCACTTTTGTTTACATTACCTTAATCAGATGTTAAAGTCGATTTGTCCTCAATCTACCTTGACTTTACGAAAAGGCAAAAGGACCTTGAAAAAACATTCAGTGTAAAAATATTTTACAGGAAGTTACATAAAATACCAACAGCATACATGATTGCTGCCAGAATTGCTAAACTGATATCAGGAGTTAACAGAAATAGAGCAGATGATTCATTTCCTATGTAAGTATCTGCAAGCATAACTAAAGCCAGTGAACATTTCTAAAGCATTCATTTTCTTAAAGGAAAAGAAGCAGGTGTCAATCTAGACACAGAAAACCAACCACTAAACTCTTAAGTCCAAACTCCTTAGAGCTGCCAACAGTCAAAGTTAGTAGTTGGGAGTGGTTTTCAAGACAAAGAGCAAACAGAGAAAAAAAAGAAGTCTTAAAACTAGCTCCTTTGAGTGCCAAAGGGATCTTGCTTAACCACACAAGTCAGTGGTTGCCAACTAACCAAACAACTCAAGTTTTCATGTACGTATACCACCTTCCCCTCCAAATACAACTGTTCTTTCAAGTATTTGGAAATGTCAGTATGCATGACTTACTTTACTGTATGAGAATTTTGGATGAATATCATGAATCAGATACCCTTTTAACTCTTTTAGCTGATTGATGATCAGGAAATTTGTTGGCAGCAGTAGGAACTGTGTTGAAAAATAGTGTCGGGCAGAATTAGAACACCACATTTTATATGAGGGAATCCTACTCTGAGTACGACCTCCAAAGTTAAGTCTCAGCAAGGTCAGGCAAATCCCACTCAGCAGTCCTCCAGATCTAAGATCAGGAAGAGTAAGGATTTTGAACTCCTTTCAGCACACACCCTTAGGGCTCCACACCCAAGAATGTTGTTAACTGCTGTCAAAACCATTCACTGGCACTGTGAGTGCACAGTTGAATTGTGCTCGGAGCGTTTACAAGACAGTGACCTGCAGACGAAGATCACCAGGGCTATTGGCTTAAGTGCCCCTGGCCAAATATAAACCTGACAGCCTTTCAGCTAGTAGGTGAGTTCGGAATCATTTGTGGCACCTACTGAATCCTTATGAAGCCTCCCTCTCTGCCCCCAATCAAAATAAGCTGGTCCTCAGGGCATATCAGCTCCTCCGGGCACTTGGCTTAAGATGACCTTACAACTTGGAAATGCCCATAGTATATAATATCTAAATGTTTTCAAAATTGGTTGGCTAGACATCACTAATGACTGACACTAATTCTGCTCGGTTATCCTTAAGGTTTCCTGGTATCCTTTGTTTTGAGAAGATAAGAAGAAAACCCTGGGATTCTGCTGCCAATTCCCACAGGAAGTAATGTTATGCTTTCATTGACTGAAATGATAAAACAATACACAAAACTTCAACTGTGCATGTTGAAGTTACCCATATCTGACATGGAAAGACACTTCTAATATCCTCTGATGAGTGATTTTACTTTAGAAGTCAATTTTATCATTTTACTTTTAAACAGTAAAATTTTTATTTTTCAATTATAGAGCCAAGTCTTAAGTAAAATCACAGTGAATGGTGCTTTATAAATCTGGTATTTAAAGTAAGAAAATATTAGCCTGGTTCTCTTTCATATGAATATTTTACCGTAAATAATAAAGTTCTAGAGAAAAGGGTACTATAGAATGAAATGCACATTTCTTAAAAGGGTGTTATTTTTCCCTTTGCTATAAGTGTTTTTATCTAGTATAATTTCTCCAGTATACCCTTAAAAAGGCCAATATATTCAGGCAATGTGAAGTCTGTTTTTCCTAAGATTACTAACCAAATTGCCATGATAGCCTCTCTTAGATCTTGAGCAATCCTTAGCAAGCATATAAATCACCAAATACACTCTAACTGAAATCATAATTTCCATTCCTTTGGGGCATGCATAAGATTCAAGCTGATCCTTTCATAAGCACGAAGTCTCAAAAAGCATAATCTATTTCCAAATTACCCACTGATTTCTACAAAGATGACCACTCCAATCACTGGATTAACTAGCAAATTATGAAAGTATGCAGGACTTTATCCAATTATGTTCCAGTAGCTTTAAATGTGTATTTCCTAATATAAGAAAAGGTATTAGATTCAGAATCCAAATCAATTTGTTTGTTTGTGAGCACATATTCATACTTAATATATATATAGCAAGTCCTCTCAGCACATATATGCAAAGTAAAATACTGTAACAAATAAAACTATTATCAAGGAACTTGTTTTTTAAACTTAAAACTGGCAAAATAATGAGTTTTGTGTTAATTTAGCTTGTGTATGAAATCACATTAAAGTATGCAACTTCCTTTATGCTACTATATCCACTGTCATTCTGTCCATTGTTAGGTAGCTAGAGGCAGAATTAAGGGTTGTCCTCTACATGCCAAAGCCTCCCTCCCCCATTACAGGAAATCAGAAGCTGCTGAAGGCTGGAGGGCATGCACACATTCAGGTCTCTGAGACTGGAAGCCGGTAAACTCGGGTGGGACCCCATCCAGCCAGGTGGGCTTAATTCAGCCAATGGGGTTAACCAGTACGCTGGACCACTCCGCCTCCCAAAGGATGGGGGAGTAGGGGCGGAACTACGATGGGAAAAAGCCCGAAGTTTTCACTCTGGCCCTCTCTAGCAGGGGCTCCCACACACGGTTCAGCGTGGCCAGGCTGCAGAGCCCAGCAAGACTGGGTCGAGGTCCCCCACAACCATGCCTCCGACTCTGTCTGGCTGTGTTCCATTGTACTGTAAAACCCAAAGCTGCTTCTAACCTTTATAAAACTCACTTGGATCACAAACCAGGCTTCAGCGTTCATTCTTTCTCACTTGAAGCCAAAGACCGAGATATATTTCTCCCCCGAGAGAGACCTAACAATTCTGCCACATTTTCAGAATGTTGCTTGGAAAATATTCATTAGAATTACATAATACATATTTAAAACCCTAAGTGGTAGGCTCAAAAATGGATTGAGAAGTTTGCTGCACATTTAATTTTAGAACTGTCAAAGACACAATTTTACCCTTTTTGTTTTGAGGAAGATTTCAGCCCATTATGATAAGTTAATTAGTTCAGGAGGCTACCAAAGGGTCCTTTTAAAATAAGCAATCACTCCTGTCAGGAATGTTTTTCTGCTGGAGAGAAGCTTTTCTATACTGTTTACTCACCAAGCACTTAAAATCCAAATAATAGTAAATCATCACCATCATTCCCCTCTTTTAACTTAAACATTACTACCATCTCAGTTAATGGGTGAGATGAAACTGTTCTTGAAGTGTGCTGTGTGCGCCTGCATCTAAGGCATCATATCTGACAGGAAAAACTTGCAAAGCTTATAAGACAAGGAATCCTATTAGTGATGAGGTTTGACCTTTCAGGTTTATTACACTGCTCCTGTGGAGTTGGCCCAACCAAAACGTAAACAGCAGTGGCAGAAATGTTTAGCTTAAGTTAAAAAGGCCTTAGGAGCTTTACTTAACAGTTATAATTTTAAACCTCAAGCCAAAAAAGAGAAAAGGGGTGTGACCTTCTTTCAGGGGTTCTAACAGCTCTTTTGGGCACACTTGAGTCCTATTTCCGTAATCCCCACGTGTGCACAGGAGATTCTAAATCAGTGTAAACCCCATTGCGGTGGAGTCGATTCTGAAACGATAGGGCACAACTGCCCCCACTGGGGTGGTTTCCAAAGCTGTAAATTTTTCCTACCATACCTTTTGGGCCAAGAGGCTGGTGGGTTGCAGAACTTTATGTTGGCAAATGCTTTAACCACTGCACCACCACCAGGGTGAGGGTCCCTTTGGTAAGCAACAATACTCTTCAGAACCCATACAGGGTGCATTCTTGACCCCCCACACTGTACTGGAGCTTTTAAAAAAATAATTATTATTATTACATTGCCTTCTCCCTTAGGAATCTTGTCTTGCTTGGAAGGTTCTCTAATTTGAACACATCCTCTATCTTGTGTCATCGGCCCCATTCAGTAAAGTGAAGCAAAGGGAGATGCAGAATAGGGAAGCCAACTTTTTAACGGTACTGCAAAAAATGTCTTCAAAGCCCAAGGGCAAACTTAAAAAGTTAGGCGTTTAAGAGACCCAGCATTGCCAGGAGCCCAACCCACCCCCTCCCTTTCTCCCCTTTTGGGATCTCAGCCCAGGAGGGTTGTTGGTGTCCATAGTCTTAATAGACCTCTGCGCTCCTTACACAGTCCCCTGCTCTCCTTTGTCCGGCTTGTCAGGCAAGGTTAGCACAAACGGGAAAAGCACCCCTCGAGCGTCAAAGGGGGCTTTGAGCAACTCTGGCTCGAAGTTGCCTCTCTGGCCCCCGTCCTCACCAGGCTCAACCTCCTGGGAGAGGACGAAGCGCCAGGTACCCGCACGGTTCACGCAGTAGATAGTGCCGTTTAGGGCCGCACAGCGGAAGGGCTGTTGGCCTGAGAGTCCACCAGGAGGCCGCAGGTTCGAAGCACACTGACTCCACTGCTTGGCCAGGCAGTGGTACCGAAAGACGTTGACCCCTCCACTCGTGCCAGCTACAGCCTGGAGATCGCCGCGTCCCCCGCAAAGGTCGAAGCGGTAGATGAAGCCCTTGAGGGCCACCATGTCGGCTGACCGCTTGCGGCTACTATTGCAAGGGCACTCCTGCCACTCGTCGCGCCGGGGGTCGTACTTGAGCAGCCTGTAGAAGAGCGACCCTCCAGACACGTAAATCTCCCCGTTGCAGGTGGTGGCTTCGTGGGCCACGGCGAAGGCGCCCTTGGGCAGTGGGGCCACGGCAGTCCAGCGGTCGCTGCGCGGGTCGTAGCGCTCCACGCTGAACAGGCACTCGCCGCCCACGGCGTACAGGTAGCCGTCTAGGGCCAGCAGCTTCAGCTGCGAGCGCGCTTGGCCCAGGGGTCGCACGGTGCTCCAGCTGTCAGTCACCGGGTTGTAGCAGAACACTTTGTCGGAGAGGCGGGCGCGCCCCTCGGGCCCCTCCTGCAGGATGCCCCCCGCCAGGAAGAGGTAGTTGTAGAGCACGCACATGGCACAGCCCTTGGCGTTGGCGCCCTCGGGCAGCCGGGTCAGGACCCGCCACTCCCGATCGGCTTCCTGGTAGTAGTAGATGACAGAATCGCTGTGGCCGTCCTCGTCCTCGGAGAGGGCTCGGGCGGCTGGCGGCGGCGTGGACGGCGGCTCCCCGGGAGACTGCGCGGGGGCGGCGGCGGCCACGGCCACGGCCGAGGGGCTCTGGGGCCGGCTGCTCTCGCGGCTCTGCGGCCGGCTCCCCACGCGCTCGAAGACGTCGTTGACCTCGGCCGCCAGGAGGCAGCCGCGGCCGCCCTGCAGCCGCCTCTGCAGGACGAGGTCTCTCTCGGCGCCCGTCAGGCGGCCGTAGACGGCCGGCTCGCGCAGCACCTCCAGGTAGTGGTCGCTCATGAAGCGGTAAGCGGCCTCCCGGAGCTCGGCAAGCCGCTGCTGTTTGGCCAGGCTCAGCACCTGGTAGCAGTTGGCCAGGGTGATCTGCGTCCTCATGGCGTCCATGGCGCACTGCACGGCGCAGGGCATCTGCAGGAAGCGCGCCCCGGCCACCACCTCGGCGACGTTGTCCTGCCGCACGTCGCCCATGCGCCCCGTGTACAGATAGTCCACCAGCACCCGCAGCGCCGCGTAGCTCACCCCCTTGATGCGCAGGATCTCTCGCGACAAGCGCGCCCGAAAGTAGTCGCTCTGGGCGGCCAGCACGGCTTTGTGCGCCCGGATGCGGCGGCCGGCCACCTCGATCACCAGGTCGGGCTCCGCCGCCGGCCCGCCGGCCCCGTCCCCCTCGTCCCCCGCCCCGGCGCGGCCCCGCGGCGGCGCGGCCCCGGGCTGCTCTCCGGGCTGGACGCAGCGAGGGACGGGCGGAGGCTGCGGCGGCGGGAAGCTCTCCCCCGGCTGCCTCGGCACCGCCTCCTCCTGCGCGGGCTCCTCCGACGCGGCAGCGGAGCTGTAGACTTCCCACTGACTCTTTACCACCCGGCTTCCGCGCAGCGACAAAGGTGGGGAGGTGGCCGCGTCCTCCGCAGCGGAAGCTGGGGTTGCACAAGACTGCGGTGGAGAGTCCTCCCCGGAGCTGAAACACAGGGAAGAGCTGAAACTGCAGGGCGTCTGCGCCAGGGACTCGGTGCCCTCTTTCCCGTTGACACCCGCCCTCTGGTCCTCCTCGTCCGTGTCAGGCTGCCGTAGGCTCCCTTCTCCAGAAGTGGCCAGAGCGTCTCCTGGGCCCCCGGCTTCTCTGCACATCCCATTAGCAAAGCCACCCCCTGGCTTTGACCCACTGACGGGGTCACCGGAGTAAAGGACGCAGGGAGCCACAGGGTTCTCCATGGCAGGGGGTTTTCTTAGCTGCCGCCCCCCACCCCCTTTCCCATTCAGCAGTAGAACATAAGCACCCTGGTTTGGGCTGTTCAAGGTTAATTGTTACTCTAGTTTCTGGCTACACACGTTTTTTCCTGGCACGTGACCATATTTCACTTCTGTTTCCACACCTTTTTTTTTTCCTTTTTGCTCACAGGCAGGTCCCCTTTTGCCCTTGCCACACTCCTTTCCTGTGAAGAGGGGTGTGTCAAACTCGGGGTGTACTCTGTACTGAACTTTTGAACCTTCATAAACGTTAACGTTTTATGGCTATCTATCTGCTGTGAAGGTCTTCATGAATTAGCCTCGATGTCAATGTGGCAATGGTTTAATTAAATGTACAGGAAAGTCCTAGAGCTACAGCAGGGATTTTGCTTACAGTTCACTCGCTTCAAATTTGCGTTATCAAGGTATATCCAACAAACCGGGCTCATTCACACTTCATTCCATGACGTTTCTGCTGTCTATAAAGCCAGCAAATCTGAGACAGACTGAAAATGAAACTTTAGAATCTTGAGTTTTAGCTCCGTTCTTTTGTTGTTGTTGTTGAATCACCACAGTGGGTTTTCATTTTGTGACTCTCTTAGTGATTACAGTTTATGAAAGGTCAGCTGAAGAATCCTGGTTTTATCCAGGCGTGTCATCTGGGCAGAGAAGCAGCAATCCATAATTCACTTGCCATGTGGGTGTCTGAAAAAATACTTTGACTGGTCGTCCTCATTTATCATCACGAGCATGCCTTTGCAGCTTCCTTTGTTGGGATATCAGGTGTTTCCATATCGTTGCACCATACTCTTCTTGTTCCTGTTTACAGGAGGGGAAAAAAAGAAAATGTTTGAATTTGCGCTTTTCAATGAGATTGTTTTGTGTCTGTGAAGCCTCTCATATTTCCCCTCCACAACTTTCAGGCCACAGAATTCAGATTTAGTAGGAAAAGAGATTATGATTCTTCACCCCTGGATAATCTGATAATTAGAATATACAAAATCTTTGAGGTATATAAAAAATGATGACCTCTCAATATTCCTCCTGTTCTTGTTGCTTTTTAATAAATATGAAGAACCCAATTCAGGCAATTGGCATTACCGAAAATAAAGGTCTTAAATATAGCAGATTGGACCATGTTAAATTGCTAGTTTTCATAGGTCAAAAGACATTAAATATCAAGTTTCATATTGTTCAGTCTAATAAAATGTATATAACCAGAATCTCAAGGAACACCACGGTCAACTGATATAGTCCACAAGACAGTGTTCTGCATCCTACTTCAGTGAGTAGGAATTTGAGCCCTAACAGTGAACAACACAGGTCTCCCCCTGTTAAGAGCAAGGTTGCGTTAGGAAAATCAAAGGCATATGGAAAGAATTCATCCATAGGACTAAATCATCGCGAGAAGCCCAGCTCCAGTGACTCTTGAGACCACTCTTGAGAACTCGGTGTCCACATCTCATAGATCATACTAGGTGGTTCTAGATAGAGTGGGAGAAAAATGTGGAACAAAGCTCAAAATAATTTTTGAAAGATTGGGTTTACTGATCAGATGGACACTAGTTGAACCCCAGTGACTATGGGCCTTAAGCACCTTTGAGCCAGGAAGTGAATTTACCCCTGTGGGTCGGCTTTCAGCTAATGATAGACAAACCTATAAGTTGAACAATACCACCAGGGAGGGAGTTGCACTCCTTAGAATAATCAACCATCGGATGCCAAAAGAGCACCATTGGCCACTGAGCTCAGGAGGCAGAAAGAATTAGGAAAGAAGGATAAATGCAAATGGAAACACACAGAGGAAGTGGGAAGAAAGCTATGTGTTGTGGAGACTGCAAGTAATGTCACAAAACAATGTACAAACTGTTGAATGAAAAAACGGTTTCTGCATAATCATTTACTCAGATCACTGCGTCTGCATGCACTCGTGAGGGGCTTCAGGAAGCTTGTGGGAAATTTTCATTTTTTAATTCTAATTCTCCATAAAATTTTGAAAACCTTATATATATTATACATAATTAATTACAGGATGATTATATATATTATAATTAAGAACTCCCTTTAGTGAGAAAAATTGGCTAGACTGTATAATCTTATTATCATGTAAAGTTTTCATTTATTCTTTTCCAACTATTTATTTTAAATTTAATGACAACAAATCTGTAGAGACACTTGCTGAAAGAACTTCTCTGAAATTGGCTTCCTCCAATAGCATATATTGAGTCTGGGCTCCAACTCTTAAATCTGTTTAAACTAATCATTATTGGGATTTCTTGCCTAAAAGCTTTAGAGAAGCAATTCTCCAAATAGCCTAAATGCAACAAAAGAAAGGTGGTAGCAAAAAGACTGAGCTACGTGGAAGATAAATGGGGCACTTGCAGATCAATTATAAACTATTTCCCACCTTGGCCAAACCATCATTGAGACTCCCTAATTCACTGAAAGGGGACTTCAAGGTCTACGGAGTGATCACAAGGGTACATCTTGATTACAATTTAGCTTATTAAAGAAGAGACTACAAAAAGAAAAACATAAACTACAACTTAGTGCCGGCTATATAGTGGTTATACATTGAGCTCTTAACCAAAAGGTCAGTGGTTCAAAACTACCAGCTGCTCCATGGGAAACAGGTCAGGTTGTCTACTCCTGTAAAGATGTGTTGCCTCCTAAGCCCACAGGGCAGCTATACTCTATGGGTCTCTATGAGCCAGAATTGACTCCATGACATCAAGTTTGGTTTTTTGGTTACATAGAAAGGTGTAATCACCTCTCAAGTGAAGCAGATAACTGATACTTGATTGTCTTTTCCTTCAGTGTCACTCTTCAGATCTTACACCCTGGTGACATCGTAGGTTCTCAGTTGGGCTGCTAACCACAATGTCAGCAGTTCAAAACCACAAGCAGCTCTGCAGAAGAAAGATGAGGCTTCTACTCAGGGAATGATTTTGACTCACTGCCATTGAGTAGATTCCCATTCACTGCAATCCCATAGAACAGAGTAGAACTGCTCCCGTGGGTTTCTTACACTGTAACTCTTTACAGAAGTAGAAAGCCTCATCTTTCTCCTGCAGAGTGACTGGTGGTTTTGAACTGCTGACATTTTTTGGTTAGCAGCCCAATACATAACCAATATGCCACCAGGGCCCCAGAAACCCACAGAGGCATCCATGGGTACTCCATCCTATAGGGCCACTGTGAGTCAGAATAGACTCGATAGCAGGAAGTTTGAGTTTTTGAGTTATACCTAATACTATTGCCTAGTATCTAATGTTATTAGGAGTTAGGAGTCCCTGGGAAAGGACATCATGCTTGGTAAAATAGAGGGTTGGCAAAAGAGAAGACACTCAATATGTTGGACTGACACAGTGGCTGCAACAATGAAATTAACCAGCAACAACTGTGAAGATGGTGGAGGACAGGCCATGTTTCCTTCAGTTGCGCTTAGGGTTACTACTGAGTTAGAAGCAACTTGATGGCAGCTCACAGCAACAATGGTACCTGTGTGAGTCTGGGCTGACTAGAGAAACAAATTCATAGACACTCATATGTGTATAAGAAAGAGATTTATATAAAAGAGTAATTGTATATTAAGAAAACATCCCTGGCCCACCAACTTCCGAGGACCGTATTCCTGCTCAGAGCAGCCAATGCACAGAGAAGATCATAAAGCCAGCCTCACCACAAGACACGACGTCCCTCACTGACCCATAGTGCTTCAAGGGACATCATTGGAGGCACAGTGCAGGAATTGTGCCTGATCTGACCCCACCACACCAGAGTGAAATGCTAAGGGTGTGCAACAGAGCAGCATGGGGAGCAAAGCAATGAAGTCCCTGGGGAATACCAAAAATAGACTTTGGGGCTAGGGTGTGGTACCCCATCAGACTCCACTGGAAAACACTCCTAAAGGTCAACAAACAGACCTTGAACTATTTACAGGTTTTTCTAGTCTTTTTTTTTTTTTGTCATTGGTTTTTATGTTGTTTTGTTTTGCTCTGTCTTGTTTTTATGCTTATTATTGTCTCTTCATGTCTATTTAGATAAGATAGGTGGGATAAACAATCCGGAGGAGAAAACAATTGGACTGATGGTTCCGGGGACATGGGAGAGGGGTAAGTGGGGAAAGGAAGGGAGGAGCCAACAAACCCAGGGACAAGGGAACAAGTGATCTAAAATTGATGGTGAGGAGGGCGTAGAATGCCTGGTAAGGCTTGATCAAGGTCAATGTAACTGAGAGGAATTACTGAGACACAAATGAAGGTTGAACATGATAGTGGGACAAGAAGAAATGTAAAAGGAAATAGAGCAGTGGTTCTCAACCTGTGGGTCACAACCCCTTTGGGGGTCGAATCACCCTTTCACAGGAGTCGCCCTATTCATAACAAAATTCATGGCAAAATTATAGTTATGAAGTAGCGATGAAAATAATTTTATGGTTGGGGGGTCTCCACAACATGAGGAACTGTATTAAAGGGTCGCAGCATTAGGAAGGTTGAGAATCACTGAAATAGAGGAAAGAACGAGGAGGCAAAGGGCATCTATAGAGGTCTAAATACAGGCATGTACATATGTAAATATATTTATATATAGTGATGGGGAAATAGATCTATGTACATATATTTATAGGTTTAGTATTAAGGTGAGCAGACAGACATTGGGCCCCTACTCAAGTACTCCCTCAATGCAAGAACACTTTGTTCTCATAACCTGGCATTCTTTGATGCTCACCTTCTGACCTGATTGCTGAAGACAAAATGGGTGCATAAGCAAATGTGGTGAAGAAAGCTGATAGTGCCCGAGTATCAAAAGATTTTTCGTCTGGAGTCTTAAAGGCCTGAAGATAAACAAGCGGCCATATAACTGAGAAGCAGCAAAATCCACATGAAAGAAGCACACCAGCCTGTGTGATCATGAGGTGTCCGTGGGATCAGGTATCAGGCATCAAAGACCCAGAACAAAAAATCATATCATTATGAATAAGGGGAAGTCGGGAGTGGAGACCCAAAGCCCGTCTGTAGACAATTGGACATCCCCTCACATAAGGGCACAAGGAAGAGCCAGTCAGGGTGTAGTATAGCACCATTGAAACATACAACTTTCCTCTAGTTCTTTAAGCTCCCCCCCCACCCCACTATCATGACCCCCAATTCTACCTTACAAATCCAGCTAGACCAGCGCATGTACACGGTACAGATAAGAGCTGGAAACACAGGGAATCCAGGACAGATATCTAGGACAGAATTCCTCAGGACCAATATTGAGTATCCATACCAGAGGGTAAGGGGAAGGTGGGGGGAGAAAGGGAGAACCGATCACAATGATCTACATATAACCCCCTCCCAAGGGGACAGACAACAGAAAAGTCGGTAAAGGGAGACACTAGTCAGTGAAAGACATGAAAAAATAGTAATACTTTATAAATTATCGAAGGTTCAGGAGGGAGGGAGGCGGGGAGGGGGGAAATGAGCTGATACGAAAGGCTCAAGTAGAAAAAGTGTTTTGAAAATGATGATGGCAACAGATGTACAAATGTGCTTGACACAATGGATGTATGTATGGATTGTGATGAGTTGTATAAGCTCCCAATAAAATGATTTTTTTTAAAGAAAATATCCCAGCCTAGTCCAGAAGTCCAATATTAGCTCATATGTCTGAGACCAATCTATAATTTCATCTTCAGACTCACACAACACAGGCAATGACGCCAAATGCAGGAAGATCAAAGGCCAGTAGATGGAGCGTCTTGTGGATCCAGTGACCATGGAAGTTTCTCCACGCTGGTGTGGGTCTGCTTCTCCAACTCTAGGGCTCTGGTT